CCGCCGGCTGCCAGCTGCAGCGCGTGCGGCAGGCAGTTGTGCACGCCCAGCGGCGGCACCACGCGCACCAATAGGTTGGGGATGGCGCGAGATATCTTCTGAGATTGGCAACCTTAAATAGAATATATACCCATAAGTAAGGAAGTAAATGGTTAAAAAATATTGCACCAAAAATGTGACTAGTACCTTCAACGGGCACAATCTTCATGGCGAATATACTTGGATCATCGTCGGTCTTCGCAGGGCAGAGGATGTCCTTCGGCGTGCCCAGGTCCTTCACCAGCTCCATCCACCAAATACCTTGACTTGACGCCTGATAAGTTCTACAAAAAAGATTTGAAATGGTTGAATAGTTATTCTGGCATATTAGTAGACTAACAAAAGATACTAAATAAATAATTGGTTAAGGTACTGAAAGGTATACTGACTCGAAGTTGGTAGGCAGCAGGTAGAGCTTGCAGTGGTAGGCGACGTAGAGCGGCACGTTGCAGGTGTCGTGCGGCGCGAGCATGGCGAGGCGCAGCAGGCCGCGGAAGGGGTTGCGCACCGCCCCCACCGCCTCCACCCCCGCCGCCTCCAGCTCCGACTGCCGGTACAGCACCTCCAACGTGTACGACGTCTCGTTGCGGACCTGGTTGTATGTTGAGAATGTCACAAACAAACGTGTTTTTGTTCTTCTAAAGAGTTAGTAGGAATAAGACCGCCATGTGAACTTGTGTTGAGTGGACAACATACCTGCATAGGCGAGCGGACGATGATCTTCTTGGCGTTGTAGTGCGTGGTCCTTTCCACCAGCACGTAGTAGCGTGTGCCGTGACGGCCGGGGTGCAGCACGTGCAGCTTGGACACCGACCGATGGGGACACAGGATCTACCATAATGCGTAATCTTTACTTTTGACTGTCGAATCTAAATCGTAGACAGAAGTCCATTAGCTTTTTATAATGCCTACATTGAGGGGGTCCATGTCGTGTAAGCGTATGGAGAGCGTGAGGTCTGTGAGGCGACGCTGCAGGTCTGCAGCGGCGGGCGGCGCGGAGGGCGAGGTGTGCAGCGACCCTCCCGCGTTCGCCCCGCCCTCTGCCCCGCCAAAACCACCCTCGAAACTGAGGTACGCAAACAAATATTACGGCCAAAACTCATTGGTTATTCAGGAATATGCGTCACTACATTTTTATTTCTTGGTTACCAGTCCCATTCATCTCCGACTTCAGTCTCCTGCTTGTTTTCTGTCTCATCCAATAGGTCTGCTTCTGAAGTATCACAACCTGTTAATAACAAATGACCTTATTGAATATTGCTCTTTAAGAAGTAATTGTAGAACGTAGGTCAAAGTATTCAATACTCACCCGGAGTGCTGGGACGGCTGGTGTCGACGTCGTAGTCCGCGATGGCGAGAACTCGGTCGTTACCTGCCAGGTCTGTTTCTGCGCGCGTCCTTAAATGCACAGTAGAGCCGGGACCTAGAATTAATTACTTGACATAGAGAGCAATTGAACAATATTTTTCAAAAGTGTTTTAATATCAATCTAAGGGCCTGTCCTACCAAATTGTAAATTGTGTGTTAACAATCCGACATGTAAAATATGTGATGGAAATATCAGATTTTGTTCCCTTAATGACAGTGACGTCATTTTTAATATATATGAGCGTCTATCATGGTGGGACAGGTCCTAAATCTTGCGTTATCTAAGTCAGTATAGCATTACCGATATCATTGATGAGCTGCAGGCCGTTCTCGGCGGCGACGATGGCGGTGACGAGCGCGGCGCGGTCGTGCAGCGCCGCCGCCAGCGCGTGCAGCGTGCGCAGCGCCGCGGGCGACACGCTCACGTCCAGCGCCGCGCTCGACTGCAGCCGCACGTACGTGCACAGCCCCTCCGCCCCCAGCCCCGAGTCCACGCTGCTCTCGCGGCTCGGCTCCTGGACAACAACCTTGATTCAGCCTTATACCTAGCCTAGCCACCAAATGTCTTGAACAACACCTTTGACTAAACTATCGCAAAACTGTTGTACGATTGTCTATTGCTTCGCAGCTATTTCAAACTGTTTAGATGCACAACTAAAAAGTATTGTGCGCACCTCTATTTAAGCTCATAAGAATCAAAGCGATAGTTTATTTTTAGGTATGCGCACGCTCGAAATGTTTAACATATAGTTATATTTTGTCTTTACCTGTCCCAAACTATTCATCTTATACATCTTACCTGCAACGTTACATTCTTTTGTTCCGAGTCTTTCTTCAAATTTTCTTCGCCATCGATATAAGTTTCGTGTTTTCCTTCGTCCTCTTCTTTTTCACTCAGCACGTCGCCTTCGCTCTGTTCTGGTGCCGATGAGTCGTCATTGCTAATTTCATCCCCACTCGAATCGCTAGAAAATTTTCAAAAATTCATAACCTTAAATTTTTCTATTTCTGCATAAGGTCACTGAGCGTCGTTCATTCGAATTTGTAACTTACTCGTTGAACAAATGTCCGACGGCTGTGGACATTCTATCTTTGGCTCCAATTTCATTTTCGGAATCCGACTCCTCTATATCCAGTGCCCTCAAGAAGGTCATACTAGCGGCGCTGTACCCGTAGCCCTTGTTCTCTTTCCCGCTGGGGTTCCTGATGTACGTCATCTCGTTGTCGGTGTCGGCTTCGTCTGCTGACGTCTCAGACTCGAAGCCGCTACCCTTCTTCTTCTTCTTGAGCGGCTGAGTGGCTGCATTGTCTGATTCTGTTTCCACTTGCGTCACGTTGGTGTCCAGACGTGATGACATTGGGTACGCTTTCGCCTGATGAAATGAATTACGAGGACGACGTCATTGTTACTTGTGCGTAGAAGGTTCTAGAAATGATTATGTACGCTATTTATAGTAAAGGTACTTGAAAAACTGTCGCGGTGAGCTCCCACGGCTTCTGGCGATTATCTTCCACGGTGGGCTCGAGCAGGGGTTCCCAGACGCGCAGTCGCTCGTTGTGGCAGTCGGCCTGCAGGCTCAGCGAGCCGCCGCCGTGCAGCTGCCGCGACCAGTCGTGCAGCGACACCTCGCACGACATCTGAAATATCATCATTAAACTGAATTTTCGTTTCAACTATTTGTTTAATTGTTTTCAAAGTGTAAAAGTAGATAGCAGGTAAAAGTTAAAATGTCCACTTAATTACCTTCACCACCAACACGGGAATCCTGACTGTTTGCTCAATTTCGAACAAGATTTTAACGCTGGGAACCATAATCTCAAAGGTCTCAGTGGGCTTGATGCTGGGGTACTTCGGTTGTGTGTAACTGTTCTCACAGCTGTACTGTGCTGTGGGCGGGTTGCTGATCTTTTTCGGTGCCCACAGATCCTCGTCATATTTTTCCGATCTCGGGTACGACGTAAAATTGAACGGTTCCTTCTCTTCAGGTATCGTCAATTCATTGGTCACTTCTTCAACTATGTCTGTAAGACATCACGTAAAGTAAAACTAAAACTTTTCAAAGATAACTTAATTTTAGCAACTACATGATTTCATAGTTACCCATTATTGTATGTACAGTTGTCGCTGCCACGTGCAGTTCAATTTCGGACACTGAAAGACGAACTTTGATACCCTCTTCGATGTTCTTAAATGATTTAGAAAACTCAACGTCGCAAGGCTTCAATACCGTCTGGGGCGGCAGGTTTTTAAGTTTCGATTGTAGCTTTGACATTATCTGGAAAGATATAAGAATAAGAATAGTTAAGATGTTGCAAAGAATTGTGTTTTATGTGTTTTATAGTGGTCCTTCGCGCCCGCGTGTACCTGCAGGCCAGCCAGCGACACGACCAGGCTCTCCGTGTTGGAGTGTCGCGAGTAGTCCAGCAGCAGCTCGGTACGCAGCAGCAGCGCGTGTCCCTCGCTGCGCGTCAGCTCCGTGAAGAACATCACCTCCGGCTGCCGGCACTGGATCGATATGGCCAGGCTCGGGCTCTCCTCCGGCACTGCCGCCGCTGAGTATCGCAACAATCGCGCATATAAGTTACTAATAAATTATTATTGGTAACATATATTCCAATAGGTATCAGCTACTGGAATAGGATGCTTCAAAAGTAAAGCAAGATCACAGAATGATATGTGAATCAAAGCTAAACAGTTTTGTCAAAGTGGTGCATGCACTTTTATAACCAAACGCGAACTAACAAGTGGAATAGTATCCGCTGGTGGAGTCGCTGCAGCTGGGGAGGCGCGCGGCGCAGTTGTTGTTGGCAGCGCGCGCGCCCTCCGCCTCGCCCACGTACCCGTGGTTCACCAGACCACCTTCCATCGTCTTATCACCTGAAACAAGTAGTACATCGATTTCGTTTTAATAGTAACGATCTGTTCAAGTGCCGCTCACGCGTAGAATCGTAGTGTTACCGGGCATAGCGTCGAGCAGGGTTTTAGTCAACTGCAGCAGGAAGGGCAGCGCGAGGTTGAGGCGCGTGCGGTCGAGGCGCAGGTCGCAGGTGGCGGCGCGCGAGGACCAGCGCACGCTGGCGTCCAGCAGCGGCGGCCGCAGCACGGAGATGCCCGCCGCCGCGCGCGACCCGCCGCCCTGCGACTGGAATATCCTGCACACGAACATCAGATTAAACTTACAAACAATCATTGTAAGTCACTGTAAATTACTATAATCAATGTAAGTGTGTGACTTATGTTTAGTAGTTGTACTGAAAGGAGTAACAATATACCGTCTTATAAGGACGTTGTTATCGGGACGTATGTCCTCGAGCAGCAGGCTCTGCAGGCCGGCGCGCAGCTCGGCGCTGCCGTCGGAGAAGCAGTCCAGCGCCAGCGTCACCTCACCCGCCGTCAGCCGCGCCAGCCCGCGGCTCGCGTCGCGCACCGGCGAGCTCATCACCTCGTCCAGGTCGGAGTATAGCTTCATTTCGATGCCTTCAAGAGTAAACCTGGAACATACCAAATGCTCACATTCTATTCAGAAACGCGCTATCTTTTGCTACAAAAGTCAATGGCGATCTGTTTCACCTGACGGTAACTTCCTTTCGTATGGGGTCGCCCTGCGCGAGGAACGCCTGCAGCTTTTTGACGGCGACATCGGAGGGCGCCGTCTCCACCGGAGAGCCCGGTACTACGGCACCTATGCACAAAAGCCGACGTTGAGCCTATCTAGTTATATTTATACTAATTTAATAAAGCGTAAACACACACTACTTTGTGGCGTGAAACGCTTTAGGTTATACATATTCACGCTGTTGAACTTCTGGGTTAAATAAATTAGAAAAACCTTCATGTGGAAATAAAGACCATAGACTACAAGCTTCCAACATTAAGGAAGTAAGGTTATTATGGTAACGGTAATTTTGACATTTGCAATTGACAATAAGACAAATGTAAACAATAAAATAAAGTTTTCATAATTTCATGCTGATGAAGCCGCACGGGAACAGCTAGTTAGTCATAATGTAAGATAAAAGTAAATGGCGTTGTGTACCGATGTAGTGCGCCTCGCTGAGGTTGTTGGACCAGACGGCGAGCACGGTGGCGAGGTCGTTCTGTCCGAGGTTGACGGCGGCGCTGTCCATGACGACGTCGGCGGCGCAGCGCAGCAGCTCGCGGGGCGCGCCCGCCGCCTGCCGCCACCCCACCGCGCGCTTCACGTCGCAGCGCACCGACACCTGCTCCACTATCGGCTCCTGACACAATGAAACATCGTCGTCGTAATCGTCGACAACAAGATGCTAAATAAACGTCACAGCTTAGACATATCATAAGGCCAGTCCGCACCTGGACTTCCAGCGTGCCGGCCAGGGTCATGACGGCGCGGGACAGCGTGACATTCTCCAGCTTGACCAGCACGTTGTCTATGAGCGGGTTGACCACCGGACTGCTCGCCTCCTGGCTCACGTTCAACGGCTTGAAGAAGTTCTCTATCAGTAGGTCACCTGCGGGACATAGCTTCATTAGTTAATACAATACTTTGATTTAATTGATACGTACATTTGTTATTTTGATTGTATATTTACCCATATTTAAAACTAACAAGTCCGGCGATGACGCTTTTTGCGGAAGAAGCAGAACCGGAGCATGGAGCTAGAAGAACATTTTTTTCTTATATTTCTTTCAAAATGATGAAAAAAGAAAAGATTAAATAAAGTGTAAAAATGAGTCGATACTTCAATAGCGAGGCTGAGCCTGGAGGCGCAGTTGCGCAGGCGCTCCGCCCGCAGCCGCGCCTCGCGCTCCGCCGCCGCCGCCGCCTCCGCCGCCGCAGACCCCGACACCAGCGGCTCCGCGAATTGCTGACACACGCCATACAATAAGCACATCGAAATAAATGGAATAAATGTGCGAGTTAGAAACTAAGCTCCCACCTGCAGCTGGTGCAGTAGCGCGCACAGCAGCACGACGTGCAGGCGGCCCAGGTAGATGCGCAGTTCGGCGTGCGCGTGCGCTCGTAGCCGCGTCGCCGCGCGCACGTACTTCACCTCCAGCACCTTGTCCTCGTCCGGCCACACCAGCTGCATAAATCACACGGGGAACATATTGTCAAATCCGATACAGAGCTTATAATGCAGATGATTAACACGGTACGTGCCTTAGGATAGAGAGTGTTGTCAGACAAGTCGTCGATGTGGAGGGAGCCGAGGTACAGCTTGAAGATGATGCGGTCGTTGGCGCGAAAGACGCAGTCGCTGTCGAGCGCCCCCAGCCGCACCTCTGCCAGCGCGCTGTCCGCCTGCCACAGCCGCACGCACACCGACACCGCTCTGCAACACACACATTGCTAAAATGAACATAGGATTCATAGAGAAGACTTTAACTTAAAAAATACTAACTGAAAGAGATGAAGGTTATTGAAAAAAGCGATTGGAGTATCAAATATGACAAAAAAATAAAAAGACAAAAAAAATGTAAATTCTGACCTAACGGAATAGCTGAACTTAGTGGCACCGGGAGGAACGGGTGGGTCTTCTTCTGGCTTCATCAGATAGTCAAACAGAGTCTCGGTCTTCGGCAGCACGGTCTTCTTCCAGTTTAAGGCATGTCTACTCTGTATCCTGAAAAATTAACAAGTTTAAAAATTTTCATAAATAAGGTGAAGGCGAAGATGGCAGGGTGGCGGTACTCACTTGTCGTGCAAGTAGGCGAGGTACTTGCAGAGCGTGCGCAGCGCCGCCGCGTGCAGCAGCAGCGTCAGCGGCCCCGCGTCCGCCACCAGCGCCTGCTCCACGCTGTGGAAGTGCGACCGGAACTCCGGGCAATTGGCCCGAACCTAAACACAAATCATACATTTATGCTCCCATTTCAATATAATCTAATTGAATTTCAGCATTACCTTTCTATATAGCAGATTGAACAAGTCTCCAGAACTTGTCAACAGTTCGAGATACTGCCCAGTGCTACTATGATGCTGTTTGTCAGTCAGCAGTGCCTGGTCTACGGCGAGCTGGATCGCGGGGCCGTACTCCATCAGCGCCACATCCAGGCACACCTTCGTCACACTTAGCATGATGTACGGTCGGTCCACTTGCTCGCTTGATCGGTTGAGATTTATTACTATTTCACCTGTTGAAATATATTCGCCGTAAAACTAATGATCTATAAAATATCAGTTATGGTTTTTAGAGTTATAGACTTACCGATGACGAAGCGCATGAGCGTGCCGATGGTGTTGCTGGGAGAGACGTTGTCGTCGAAGCCGGGCAGGTCGACGGAGCGCGCGTACTCCTCCACCTCGTCGTCGCTCAGCTCGCTGATGCCGGTCTCCAGCGGCGGCGCGGCCTGCACCTTCACAGGGTCGTGTTTGGTTTCTGCGGCCCTGTATTCCAAAATAATTAATTGACAATGGTTTCTCTTACTAACGCGTGCAATTCACATCCAGTAAAATCCATTATCCAGTAAAAAATATAATACGATATTTACCTATTTCTACTCAGGTAAGCGGCGACAATCTTCTGTCTCAACTTAACGAGCTCATTGTATCCCGGGTCTGCAGACACGCGGTCCTGCTCCAAGGCTTCTGCCAGCTCAGGGTCCTCCAACTCCTCGACATAGTCTCCGGAGTCCATGAATGACACCGGCACAGTGTTTGGCACCGGTATGGGAAGGTTGTCACAAAAATCTAGCAAATGGCCGATGATCCGATCTGACAGATTCAGTTTCAAACTTGAAAGGGAAATGTTCAATTTGTACCTGAAACAAAAGATACCTCAAATACACTAACAACTGGACCATAAAAGACGACTTGTTTTTGTATTGTATAAGCAAGGTAATACCTTGGCAATAATTTATAATCTTTTTTGATGCTGCTAGAGAACACGAGTTGAGCTTTAATCTTGGGCACGAGGTGCAGCTCTGAGTCTCCGTACTTGCGCGACTCGCGCCACGGCTCGGTCCACTCGCAGAATAAGATCTGAAAGTAGCTATCATGTTGCTTACCAAAATTCTGTCTCCGATGAAAATGATTAGATTGTTTATCAATTGTGTCACAAAAGGGTACGTAGAGTCCACAAGTCTATAATGTAGCGAAACATTTACAGCGTAGTTAACAGAGAATTCTAACTTGATATGAGCACTCGGCGTGCAGACGGTCATATAGCTTCTCCTCCAGCTCCATGCAGGTAGCGTCCTCCAGCGCCAGGTCTGCGGGCTGCAGGTCCGAGCGCACCACCACGCGGCTCACGTCCACTATCATCACGCGACCGGATCTGACACAAATGGGAATGTACATTACAATACATAACCGAAAGGTAGGAGCAGAGAGTATTGGTTTCAAACTAGAACTAACTTATGTACACATCCATGTTCAGGTACAACGACGCAGGGACCCTTCAGGTCCACGTTGACCTGGAACACCTTACGGCGGCTGACGGCGTACGCCAGCACCGAGCGGCCCACGCCACCTGCCCGGTCTACTGCCACCGACAGCTCCTCTGCTAAGTCCTCTGGTGTCATCGAATGCGTTTGGAAGAAGTTGATCAGTTCGGTAAACGAATGCTGCAAAAAGAAAGACATTTTAATGTCATTAGTATTCATTGATATAAGTTACACTAAATTCAGTCCGGCGTGCTTACTTACTTCGATATAAAGTAATTCCACTGGTTCCATCAGCCAGCAGAGGCCATAATCAGCCTCGCTATTGCAAGGATTTCGCTCGAAGTCCACTGCCAGGAGGTTGGCACCGGCAAGCGCGGCCGACTTCTCTGTGGTCAGTAGCGGCACCAGGTCGCCGTCGGAGGTAGCGCCCTCTATTACCATGCTCTCTGCACGCGCTGACAACTAAAGCACAACAAATACGACACCACGAGTGTAAACATCAGTATACAACAACAACAAATGATGATGAAAAGACCTTGTATTTGTGTACCTTGTATGCCTTAGCCGAAGGTCTGGTCTCCAGTGATGCAAGGAACTGCGTGAGAGTAACCACCAACACCTCTTTGCTTCTATTCATCAGCGTTAGAGAGCAGTTGGCCAAAGTCAAGTTTAACTTGTGTTCTGAAATCATTTGTCTTTTAATTTTTTCCACGTTTGATAATTTATTATTGAAATTTGCACTTTCCCCGCTGTTATTAAATAGTTAATGACATTTGTAAAATCATAATATTTGTATTGTACGGCTAGTGCATTTACTTTCGTGAACCAGTACTCACCGATATACTGCTTTGATTTATCCTGCTTCGGTACACCCTCAACGTAGCCTATAAGTTCACAGACTCTCTTCTTTTCGGGACTGGATAGATGACTCCACAAGCTGCGACTTCTCTCGGTCTTTACACAGAGCTCGACGTGCGCTTTGCTTTCTGCATCCGAATCACTCTCCACATCAGAACTTGTCGGCTTCCACCAGTCGAATTCACTTTCTACAACTTCTATACGATCCGGTTCTTTTGACAGTAACTGTGAATATAATTCTCGTCATAATACAGCTCTTTAAAATAAAAATAATAATAGAAAACAGATTCTTACTTCAAACTTTGCTTGCTCCCTTGCAATTACCACAGAAATTATAGGCAAATTATCTTCGCATTTCTGCAAGTCCAATTTAAGTTCTATATCGTTAGGGCTCCGGAGAGTGCTCTTGTAAGTCTGTTTGTATGCAGTATAGTTTTCCCTGTGCTTCTTAATAGCAGCCCATGTGTACGGTCTAACGCGTTGTTCCACCACCACGTTATAAGCGTAACGCCACCACTTCTTGATATCTTTTGAGAGTGGGATCCCAGGATGGAGATGACGATATTTTCTATGGAAATTATTTAGGAATTAATGACGATATTTCTAGTTAATTTGAGTACTCCTAACCTTAAGGCAACAGATACTTAAATAATTCTCAAAAAGAAGCACACCTGATTAAAGAGAATGTAACGATTTGAGATATAGAGTCTAAAAGAGGACGTGGTATGCGTATAGTTCAAACCTGTTTAATTTGATGCGTCGGAAGGAAGACAGAAGGTTGTCAATAGAGAGGTACTGGCGCCGCGACAGCTGCAGTGCGCTGTCCGCCAGCACCGCGTCCAGAAGAAGCCGAGGTGTCCTTGCTTCTCCGGACCGGTTTATCAGCACCTTCACCTTGCACGTTACCGGCTTTAGCACTGCAAAGAAAGAGCACACGTATTTTTTTTCTTTAGAAACATGCATGTCTTCTGTTCATTCAGCCTTTTGTCAACATTATTTTACGCAAAAAGTAATTTTTTATGTAAGTAATTTATTACAGTCCGTGTTGTCTTATGGAACATTGGTTATTGAATTTAAAGAAACCTAGGCCTTCATGAACAATACTTACAAAACTCGAAATCCTCGTGGTGCATAGAAAACTTGTTGAGGCCAGTAAGCATGTAGTGTTTCCAATTATAGTACTGCATGGGCGTGATGTGCGCAGTCTCGGCGTCGTCCAGTGCAGTGGCTGCCGGATTCCAGTACAACGACAGCGATTCCAGTCGCACCAGCTGGTACACCGTGGATGCGTTTACTGGGGTCACTGATGGTTTCCATTTACTGCACCAACCCGAAACAACCAGAAATAGACATTAACGTTATTAGGGTTAGGTATTTCTATGTAGCATTGTACTTACCTGTTCGTAGTTTCGATAGAAAGACTCTGCAGGCACAGACCACATGCCAAAGGTCCATCCTTGGAGCTGATAGAGTCCTCGTACCTCACGTGGACGTTTCTCACGTAAATCTGAATGTTATTTACAATCGCTGTGAAGAGACTCTCAAAGAAATTTTGAGGTCCTTTTAAAATCTCACTCTCCGCTTCCAAGTCTTGTAAAATCTTCCTCTTTGCAGCTCTGGTGAGTCTTCTCTCTCTTTCTGGATCGAAGTAGCTGTTGGAGATAGCAGGTCCGACCAGTAATAGCACGTCTTCGATGTTCACCACCACAGGATTGGTGTACAACCCGGACCATGGTATTTGCAGACTTATTCGGCCGATTGTACCGATTTTCACATCTATCGGAAGGTCTAATTCATACTGTGAAGTAAATTAATAATGAATAATTTATTATCTATATATCTAATTATACTCATATAATGAAGGTTAAACACACACTACTTCGTGGCATAGGATATATTCGTAAGCAATCAAAAAATGTTTTTGAACAATTACTTTTTTTAATAAAATGTACATTTTAACGCTATTAAACTTGGGGGTAAATGTATCGGAAAAAACATCATGCGGGAAAGGAACCAAAAATCACAAGCTGCCAACATTAAGGAATCAAGGTTTGTGCGTACGGTAATTTTGACAATTGACAACTTGACATATGTAAACAAGTATTTATAATGACATGCGGATGTAGCCTCATGAGAACAGTTAGTTGTTTTAATAGAAATAGAAATAGGCTTCGAAAATACCAGGGACTTAAATAATAAAATGATAAAGTTCAACACTAAATTTATCTCTTTCAAACTATTAGTGTAAATAATTTAAACGTACCAGTGCTTCAGGTTTAAGCTTAAGGTCGGTGAGGTTAACGTTCCCGGAGAAGATGCCCACATTCAGGTTCTCAGTATCCAGGTCCTGCACATACTTGCCTAGGAGACGGTTTAGGATACCTGCCACCGCGCCCTCAAACATCGTCACGTTTTAAGACCAGCTTCTGGAAAGTGATAACAGATGTCGTTGTTTTTAATTTAATGATTGAGTCTTCTGCTGAAATATTTGTAGAAAATATCATTTTATATCTCATTCTTTTTAGAGATTATAATGTAGGTGTATGTACAGAGGCCTGAGTGAATCCTAACTAAGCTAAGAATTTAATATTAGTTCGACAATCAAGTTCTTTGAAACTAAGTACTACATAAGTAATATTTCTATTTAAAAATCAATACCGCGCACTATGGTCGCAGATACTTTTATGTTTACAAATAAGTGTTGACAATATGTGAAGTGTTCGATAAGTAACATACAAGTTAAGCATCATACAACGTTTTAGAATTTATCAGATTTAACTATATACGAAATATAATTATATAAAATATAAACTATACAAATCAATTATTTGTGTGTGAAAATAATTTTTATTATAAAAAAACTAAGTATAAAACAAGTCATTATTATAAAAAATATTAATTTTTTGTAACATCAAGTAAATAAGCATCCCTTAACAATTCCAAAGCACCAAAACTCACTATTTCAAACAATAAAATAACAACTTCACAAACATTATCCCAATCAGAAAATATATATTTGTATCGGATCTTTCGGTTTGTGCGTCAAAACCACAGACAAATTAACAACAATATTTATACGTACAGATAAGACGGTATCAGCCCAGAGATAGTGACGTGATAATTGATAACAATAAAAAAACATTTTAAACATATAGACAATGCATTTTATTCGCCATTTTGTACCAAGATTTAGTTTAGTTTGTTCTACTCCTAGTGCCTCCGCAGACTTTTAATCGGCCGATAGTTTAGTCGGGCGTTGGTTTAGTAGATACATGTATGGTAAGAGGTGCACAAGTTAGACCGATTTTGTTTTTGTGGTTCCACAGTCTGACATGATCAAACTATCGGCTGATGACTGTGGTCTGCGGATGCACTAAAGAGTTGCCTATGGAGATGACTGAAAAATGCCTTCAAGAAGTCTGATACGAATGTCTTTAGATGCATTTAATGAATTACTGTTTCCTTTGAGAAGATGTGTTGTCATTTCGTATGTATACAATAGATGTAACAGTAATTGCAAATTTAGTTCAGCTTTTAAATCTAAATTCTAGTCTAAAATCTATCTAAAATCTAGTCGTAAAATCTAGTCTAAAATCTAATTTCATACTAATATTATAAATGCGAAAGTTTAGATGGATGGATGTTTGCAGAGTTGGTAGCCTAAACGGCTAAAGATTTATATGAAATTTGGTATAGATGTAGAGGATAGTCTGGGCGAACACATAGGCTACTCACTTATATTTTTTTAGATTCCACGCGGCTGGAGTCGAGCGCGAAAGCTAGTAATATAACAAAATCATCCATCTAACTACCATAATAGTTATTCGTCATAGCGTTTTTTAAATGTTTTCTAATGCAAATAATTTAATTGCTGTACAAATTAACGAAGCGCCGATCTCATTATGGAGTCCTCGTGCGCGCAGAGGCGAGCAGAAACGTTAAAACACCATTCATGCATGCAAATGTCATCATTATGAATGCAAATACATTTTAATGCGAATTATGAATGTACGTGCTTTTGTTAAAACGTAATTATCTTTTGTTTATTATTTAATGACAAAGTTTTAATGGATGAATCTTTGATATTTGGTATAGATATTATCTTATTCGAGCAGGTAGAGTCGCGGGCTTAAGTTAATCTATACTATTATAAAGAGAAATATTGGTATTATTGGATTTTTTTATGTATTGGATTAACTTAAAAACTACTGGACCGATTTCAAAAATTTTTGTACCAATAAAAAGCTATGTTATCACTGAGTAACATAGGCTATATTTCTACCTTTTTTTTTAATTTCACGCGGGCGAAGTCGAGAGCAACAGATGTTTTAAATAATTTACTTTTTACTTAATTAACGTAGCCGTGGGTTTCAAAGTTTTGTAAAACCTGTCTAAAAAAAGTCAATTTGATTATGCGAAATGTAACAATGGGTTTCCACAGCCTAACATATGTACTAAAACATCTTGCTATCTCTTTTCTTTTCATCTATTTTTGTTATAATTTTTTCTCCAATAGTTTACAGAGAAAGACATCGCGAAACGTAATTGAATTCTTTTAAACCTTTACTATTTATGTAAAAAAAAAATATTATTGTTTATTTGTTTTCTTCAAACATGAAAGACGAACAAATCCGATTAATAAATATTGCATTACATCATTCACATGGGAAAGACACGAAGTTTCTGCAACCGCTTATTTGAAGGTATTGATTTACTTACGTAAGAAATAAAATAAAAACATTTAGAAAGAATAAAATGTTTAAAGAATTGAAAATACTAATCTTTAAGAGAGCAGTAAATTTTATCTATTACCTTGAACTTTCTGCTTAAATAAGGAAATATCGATATCACTGTAATATAAATAAAGGTGAATAGATAAATCCTTTAGCAAATATCAGTCTATCAACGGTAAAGGTCAGACAAGCGCAATAGAATTATTGATACGTACAACGAAATTCTCCGTAGCTAAAAATAGAACAATAAAAAGCAACAAACAACTGAAAACGGGATTATTCTAAATCTGAATTGATAGATTCTAAATTCAAATATAAAAAAATTGTTTTAATTTGAATTTAGAATCGTTCGTTTTTTTTACAAAAAAAAGGTTTTACCAATAAGGTTTTATAATGGATTTATCTAAAACTTGTTAAGAATTAATTTCTTACCTGTTCTTTACATGGTCTTCCAACCGAACAGCGGAGTAATTTTCCCCGAATGGTTTTCTCCAATGACGTCAGTGAAGGAAAGCACTGGGTGTTTTTGACAGGTGTCATGTTGGGCGCATGCCCGTTGTTGGCGCGTGCGTACAGTGCGTAAGGAAGGCTCGGGAAAACCAGCCGCCGCGGTCAATACTGTTTACGAATCCGACTTGTTTAACGATCTTAGAGGCATTTAAAATTAAATGAAATGTATTAAAATTCTTATAAGTCCAATAATACATTTTCTGAGGATACACCTTTTCTTATTCAGTATCTAATGAATTTCATAATGTTTACTGCTAAACAAACAATTGTTATACGAGAAAAATAATTAGAATTATCAAAACAATGAATATATTCATAACTACACCTGTTTTTTCATCAATCCTTTTATTTAAACTAGCTTTCGCCCGCGAATCCGTCCGAGTGGCATTAAAAAAACAAAAATCAGTAGCCTATGTCTTCTTCCAGACTATTATTTACGTCTATGCCAAATTTCATCGAGATCCGTTCAGCCGTTTAGGCTACAAACTCTAACAAACATCCAATCCATCAATCTAAGCTTTCGCATTTATGACATCAGTAAGAAGTAAGATTAGTAAGATAAAGAATAAATAAAGTTAGTATTAATAGTAGAAGTACATAGCAGTAGTAGTGCCCGATTTAACATCTTCGCCGGCTCGCCGGTGTAATACCATGACCACACAGAAGGAAAACATGAAGTGAAAGCAATTCCGCGTTTCGTCTGATGAATGTGGTGCCGGAGGCCTCGTTTTAGTTCCTTTTTCTTTCCACCCTTTTTTTGAGAGGATAGAATGGGAAGGAAAAGTGGATTTGATGGTGGAGGAGACGCATAGGAAGAAGAAAATCCTCATGTGCGTCTTTTCCTCCGTCAATTAAGGGTAGGCAACGCATCTGCAATTGCGGATGTGTATGGGTGACGGACACTTTGCCATTTCAACGGATTGAGGTGGCCGCTCGCTCGTTTGTTATAATACAAAAAATACAACGAATTCCTCATCTATATCAATTGAAGAAACGAAGCAGAGAAAGTAATAGATATGTCTTCAGACACATCACAAAAACAACATCTTAAGTACGTACATTTAATCTTGATAAAAGTACCAAGCATGTTTGAGCAGATTATAACTATAATAACTAATTAACAGTGTGTGGGCAGCAGACAGGCGTTGCAGGAGCCCGCGGGAACGAACATCAAAAAGCACTCATGGGGGCACAAAGAGTACAAAGCTGCCATCTAAAGTACCCACACTCGGGTTCCGGCTACCTATAAGTGGTATAGGAAGCCGGAACCCGAGTGTGGGTACTGGGTACTGGGTCAGCAGGAGCATTCTAGAAATAACATCATATTTCTTAACAAAAACGACTTTTTTCTTTTCGATAAATGTAATTTTGTCTGTTTGTGTACCTTTATGCCATTTATAAAAACTAGCTGTTGCTCGCGACTTGGTCCGCGTGAAGTTAGGAAAGTGAAAAACATTGCCTATGCTACTCACTAATAACGTAGCTTTTTTAATGGTGCAAGAATTTTAGAAATCGGCCCAGTAGTTATTGAGTTATTTCATACACAAAAATACAAATATTTCCTCTATATAATAGATGTGGTAAAATTTAATTCGTGTGTAATGTCAAAATGGCGGTTGTATAATTTAATTTGTAAATGGTACAGCCGCCATTTTGACTCTCACAAAACTTCTGCTTTGACCAATAGCGTTGCGTTTTAGAACTTGGCGAGGGAATTTAAAAAAAGACGCTTCTTAAAGATTTTTCACTACTAAATCATATTTCATGAAAAAAAATCTTTAGAAAAAGTTTTCGTTCAATTTGGAGTCATATTGCCTTTTGTGAATATTCAATCTGTTTGTTTTAGGAAGGTTTAAGTAAAACAAAATGTATTTCCAGGTAAGAATTTATTATCACATTATTTACCACTTAACACTTCTTTAAACTATAACGAAAAGAAATCTTTCTTGAGCACTAGCACAGAGTTATCGTCCATAAGATTTTGTGGCACTTGATTGTCAAAAAATGGATACTTTGGATGCCACCAATCAAATACATATATGTTAATAACTGTGTCCAACACCACGGAAACTTCTGGCAAAATGTCTCTAGAGACATTGTGGTAACCGGAGTTAAAACCAAGGTGGAGTCTGCGATGCCGAAAACCTTGTGATAACACTACTTTGACAAGAGACAATGTCATACCCATAAGTGGAGGTATTTGGTAAAAGCTTTGACAAACAACCTGTAACATAAAATAAAAGTGTTTCATTTAGATGTATTGTAAACTAGCTGTTCCCTGCGACTTTATCCATATAAAATTATGAAAATTTGATTTTATTGTTTACATATGTCGAATAATCTATTGCAAATGTCAAAATGACATGACATGATGTCAAAACATGGCAACCTTGCTTCCTTGATGTTAACAGCTTACGGTCTCTTTCCCACATTAAGGTTTTTATCCAAAATATTTACCCCTAAGTTTAACGGCGTGAAAATATATAGCCTAAAGTGTGACTGAAGTGTAGGGCTTTTTATTAAAAAAAAATATTTGAAAATATGCTGTAATTCCTGACATCTTAGGCAACAAAGAAGTGTGTTTTACACTTTACTATATTAGTATACATATACAGATTATAGTTATTGATTTATTGTTATTTCTTATCTTACCTGTAATACTTGTGTATCTTCATCAGGATTAGCATCAATTCTGCTTAATTCTTCAATAAAGTCTACCGATTTCTTCATTTCTACCCTCTGCTTCGGTTGCATTTTTTTGAACTTAAAAAAAACTGACCAATGTGTAGAACCTTTGCAATACCACACATTGGTACAGCATCTTTTAACCAGCAAGTGTGGTTGACTGTCATGTACAGCTTGCTGTAACACTCGCATGATGAATACATTATATGTATAGTAAAGTGCTCTTATCACTCTTTGACGGAGACCATATAACTTATTATTGTTTTCTAAACACAGCCTTTCAGGCAAATTAAGGTGATACCTACAGTAACGTATATAAAAACTACGCCAGAATGACTCTCGTTTGGTTATTGCGTATGTAGCTTTATTTATTCTGGCAAAACTACCTACATCTTCAGGTTTTATGTACCGGGATATCAAATACCATATGATCTCAGGGTATGTATTGCTGGGAGGGTTTGTAACATCTTCAGTCTCGGATCTGGAATGGTTTCGTTTCTTTTTAAAGACTAAACTTTTAGCACCATCAGGGTCTGTTTCTTCTATTACGTCCAGATCGTTGTCGACAATCTCGTCCCAGGGCAGTTCTGATACGACTGCATCTGCTGGTATGGTTTTTTTTACTCGTCTAAAGGGTTTTGGAGCATTGGCACAATCATCTATTGTGAAATCCGAAAATGCTGAAACAAAAGTTATTTTAATTTATTGTCTAACAGTAAATTCCTATTTGATTAAGTTCAACGTAAGTAGTATTCGATACACTTTGCCAAAATTAGCAGTAACCACATCAGGGATTTTAGTCCCAAGTTTTAAGGGAATAGGATGTAAATCTTCAATTAAATTTGCATAACTTAACTTTTATTTAAAAAAAATTACAAACCTTGATTGATCCCTTTTTTATTTTGACCCTTTTTCTTAGGCATTTAACCAAATTGGTGTAAACGGTAATTTAAGAACAAGCAACAAGTTTTTATACCAATTGCTTTTAGATGAAAAGTTTCGTTAAGTTACAATAGGCTTATTGGAACTATTAAAGCTAAAAGGTGTGATATGCCACTTGCTAGTTTTTATAAATTTATTGCTTTGGTTTTAGTGCTTCATAAAATAATATAAAAACAAAACTTGAACTTGTGCACTAAATATTGACTTTTTGAACGGTGTTGTTTAGTGTTGCTAGAAAAATATATTTGGTGTTTTAGAACTGTCATCTTTTTGTACTGCTTTTTGCGGTCATGAAGACCATACTAGTTGTAAATTACTTCAAAACAACGTATAATATTTTCACGGAATATTTTCATATACAAAACCGACGTAGGACAAATTAGTTATAAGCGAGTTTAAATTCCAATGGGATTATGTTTATCAGAAATATATCTTCTCTGTGTCAATCCCTTATCTTTGATATGATTGACGTTCCAATCCAAGATGGCAGACATGCCGCTTGAGCCGAGATAGTATGGATAGAGTTTAAGTTTTAGGTGTGTCTTTTGGAATATCGAACTATAATGTCCCCCGAAATTTTGACTAATGTATTGAACGAATATTTCGAAAATGTGAAGCAACGCTCACGGGTTCTGTGTGCTAGATTTAGGTAACGTTGGTGTGGAAACATATGTAATACGGTGGACAATTTTTTGTGTTGTTCGGTGTACCGTGTACGATAAATATTCTGGTTTGATGTTAAATTAAAATGTGGAATATGATGTGCGACGTGATGCCCACGATATCTGAAGATAGTATCAGCCAGCGGAGTTCGCAGTTTTCGGGAGAGGATGCGAACTTCGAGCAGCTCATGGTGTCGATGTTGGATGAGAGGGACAAGCTAGTGGAGAGCTTACGTGAGACCCAGGAGCGTCTCAACGACTCGGAACTTCGTTTGAAGGATGTGGAGAAGGAGCGCGATTCACTGCAGCGACAGATCGCCGCCAACTTACCTCAGGTCAGTGCCATTTCCTCCTATGCAGTCTTATTCTGTGAATATGTCGTGAAAGTATTCCTGTCATTTGAAATTTACTGTGTTATTTAATTGATAAAAAAGTAAATCAAGGTCTTAATCCATATGCAGATAATACACCTTGATCTCATTTCACTAACAAATTAATTACAACTAGAGAAAAAATGTTTATTACTACATATTTACATTTATACTAAAGTATAGTTGAATAAACCAATCAATGTCGTTATTTTTCTTAAAGTCTAATTTGAGGCTTACCTCAAGACTATAAGTGGCCATTTTCATATAAAACTTAAGATATCTTAGTATAATCTATAAATATAGTTAGAAACTTAGAATACTACACTTTGTTATTGTCCTTGCCCTGCGTTATTGATAAAAAGTTTAAAATTAGTAAAATGTATAAAGTCATCAGATAGATGAATCAATTAGTATAGTAAGAAAGTGTGTCAAATTGTGGTGGATAATATGGGGCCTATAGATTTTATGTCTCTAAATAGTTGCTAACATTACATCACTAATCAAATGAAGTGTTTATCTGATAACATTATGTATCAGTACAGTAACCTTCAGCTTGGTATGTAAATTTCTTAATGCAAATTTTGTTATTTTTGCATTAAACTATACTATGTAATTTTTTTTCCCATGTTGATTCACTAACATCTTGGAGCTTCAAGTTGAATTTTTTGTTGAGTTTTCTGTATATTAAGAATGTAATTCATTGGTGTGTTACTATAATAGCAAAATGAACATATATATCTATAATATATAAAGAAGAAAGATTTGTATTATTGTATGTATTGAATTAACACAAAAACTACTAGGCTAATTTATAATTAATAAGCTAACAATGTTGTCAGTGAGTAAAATAGGCTATTTTTAAATTACATGAACAAAGTCACATGAAACAGCTAGTGTTAAATAAGTTTGTAGATTCATTGAGTACTTAAGTATATTTCAGCATAATGTACAATGGAGAATTATTTGTGTAATTATTGATTAGGTCAAGGCTTTGCTAAGAGCAGAGTCAGCCACTGGAACCTTTGGCAATAAAAACTTCTGTAAACACAAGACATTTGCATTTTGTTCTACAAATTAACTATTCTTGTCTATTGTAATGTAAAGTGATATGTTGCTTTTCTGTGTTTATTTATGTATGCTCAGTAAAAAAGAAAATATTCATGTTTTCTGGTCATAGACTTAAAAAAATTAAATAAATCACGGTATTGATATAATTAATATTAACAGTGTCAAGTGGTTTAAAGTTATGTAAAAATTTGAAACTACTTTTTAATCACCTTGTTTTTACTAAGGCTTATTTGCAGACCCTAGAAATGTCTAATTCACCATTTTCCTCTGGTCTCTCTGTATTTGACATATATCTTAAGTTTTAGCTGAAGTATTTGAATTGTTTGTCAAGCATTAATGTACAAAAACATATTAAAACTCCCTTAATCTAAAACTGATTTTTTGGACAAATGTTGCAAGACTAAAATCTTACTGTAAGTGTAAACCTTGACATTGAGGCCTCCACAGTTTACAATTCTAACTATGTTAAGTATTACTGATATAGAGAATTGTGTAAATGGACTATAAATGCTGATAATGCAATCTGTTTTGATTGCTATAGTATGTTAGAGGTCAGTGTGTCAATTGTTACAACTGAATCATCAGTAGTTAATGTCGACTTTGTCTAGGAAATTTTATATTTAAATTGATTGAATAGCTTACTTCAGGGATAACAAACCAATGGCATGCAAATAATAGTTTGGGCATTTTGCTGCTCGAAAATTCAATATGTATTATAAACAGAATTAAAAAGATATTAAAGTGTGATGTGTCTACAACCTCATTAAATATTTCCTTAAAGTATCAAGCATTGCTACATAAAGGTTCATCCCTGGTATACTTGTATAGTGCCTTTTAAATTTTATGGCAGCTCGGAATGCTACATGAAATAATTGAACACAATTTGAGATATTATAGTTAATAAGCTGCCACAGTTTGCATCTTGTAATACAGTGATTTGTTACTATGGACCCAGTATATTTTTTATTCTAGGTTTAAGTTTGATAGCACATGATTTGGGAATTCCCTCTATATTTCCCTATCACACTCTGCCTCTATGTACTTTAAACTATGTACAAAATGTTGGTATTCATCAGGGATTCCCCGAGTTATAATGGACAAGAATTTGGTGTAATTTGTTTATGTTTTACACATAGTTAAAATGTATTTGATTCTAAAAACTTTTGTATAATATAGAATTATTAGTTTGTAAATGTTAAAAAGATTATAGGTTATAATTTTTAATCGCAATATATCGTCTGACGCGTAGAATGAATTATATTTTGTTTACATTAATTAATTCATATTGGAAAATTTGTTTACATTTGCTCTCGATTGAGGCGGCCGTGTGAACCAAGCCTTTGACGTGTTAGTTTATTTTTAATAATTCATTTTTTTCCCGCCAATATATTTCACGTTTTACGTTCAGAAACCGTATTGTTTTCGTTTCATTAACATCTTAATTGAGGGATATAAAAGCGTGTACGCTTTAGTTCAATTATTACTTTTTAAACTTTGCATAGCAAATTTTGGGAAATTTAAAAAGCTACAATTTTGTATGACTAATTAAAAAAAACAAATTTGAAGTAAAACACTTCAAATTTCAACATCATAAAACAACAAATGAAGAAAACGTAATAAAATAAGGTCTGTTGGGTAATGCTACGTAGGTACGCACCCTTTCCAATTCTAAATTTGCACGTAAATTGTTGCCCAAGTGAAACCACAAAAACTTTACAACTTTGCGTAGCTGTTAAAAGTTTTCCGCGGTCATTTTACTTAAATAGATTTCGACATTTACGAGATTTAACTCCGATGGTGGTTTTAGATTTTTAACTAACGGCCGGATACTGAAACGAATCTAAAACCGCTTAAATCAAGCACAATGTGACAGATGTGAACATGTTAATGGAATTTGGTGAAGCGTGGCCTTATGTAAGACGCTGTTACATACTAAAATATGTCAGGGGACTTGTAGGAGAATTTTAAATAAAATTTAACTTAATAAGTTAAAGATTCAGAAAGATTGTGTTGTGCAGTTTATAGACGATTTATCTGATGTTAGCAATAATCAAACTTTATAGAGGTGCTAGAATAGTTAAGACATTTGACTATGATCTCTGTTGGGGCCATAATGTTAACAAGTCGATTGAGAGTTATTTGAATTATAACTGAACTTAACACGCGCATCTTGTCACGTACGGTGCTATTGTGACGTTAATGTTGTGTCTCTTTCGGAAACTCCCTCTCCCTTTTTTGCGCTTGAAAATACAGAATATTAGTGCATAAAAAGTTATGTGACTAATTGCCCTGTTTCCATGGGTTTTCACTGATACAATCTTACGTAATGTATCTCTATTTTTTAAATGAGTGTAAAAGGGACAATAACGTTTCTGTATGCGGAATTCGACAGTGGAAACCGTAACGGAATACTGCGGTTAAGACAATGAATGGTATTGTTGGAAGCTGCGTTCCAATGTCTGTTCCAATTTCGTCGTTATACAGATCTATAAGTAAATCTTGCGTACAACGGAAGCCTTCCTAGTGACCGGGAATAACTGAGCAAGTGAACAAACTTTAAACACCAGTTCGCCATTATTAAAACTACGTATTTTGGAATGATGCCAAGCCTCTTTATTGTGTGTGCATTGTATCAGAAAAATCAAGTTGTAACATTTTTTTGTTTGTTTTTTTCGCCAGAAATCTTACACTTCAAAAGAGCCAACGCAATCATAGATAATCAAAAATTTGTCAGATTTACAAGTACTAGTTTAAAAATTACATTTTTAATTCTAACTTAAGGAGAAAAATTTGTAAGTAATTTCAACGGACTCAAGCGTGAACACCCTAAAAAACTTTTGTAGCAAATTTCCCCGAAGAAATCTCGAATAAAATTCACCGGACGGTGAATTAAAAGAAAACAAATTAGGGCGGGCGCTGACGCTATGTGGGCCGGCCTTTTGCCGCCTGGCGCGTCTAGCGAATCAAGTGAAGACAATTTTATTTCATATCCCTCTGTTTATTTAACTCAATTTATCACCCATTGTACAAACTGAAATACTAATGTTTATCTAATCGTTATAAAAAATCTAACCAGCTAATATTAGTACAAATTTTGCTTATACTCAGTTTATTCCTAAGTTTAACTTAACACTGCGTTTATTTGTAAGACTGTAAAAGTTTTGTCGATTTCCAATGCGATCGACAAATCATATCGAGTATTATTTCTCTGGCCACCAAGGTATAGTCGACAGTGTTGTAATAATAAGGTATAACGGTCAACAATGGTGACATATGGGTGTGTAGTAGTGATTGGTGAAGCATGCAGTTTGCGACACGCGTTCGCCGAGGCCGTGGGAAGTACCGCTTCACTGCCCACCAATACTGTCCGCTCGAATCCTAGCGTCTAATATATACAAGATTTATTGAAAACCGCCTTGATGATTAAAGATTGGTTCTAATGTTAAGCCCCAATAGCCTAATGGCTTGGGGTACGAACTACCGATCTTGCGGTAGAGGTTTCGAATTCCGCCATTCGACAATTGTCGTGAACCATATCCTAGCACAAGCCTAGAGCTTAGTTGGAATGTTTAAAGGCAATATTTAAAGACCTCACTGATATAAAATGAGAAAAGAGTGATATTTCTGGTGCCTGTAAGTGACAAGTTGTAAATTAAATAAAATACATACGCTTAAAATTAATTCTATTTTGAAACCCTAGTGTGTCCATCACCTTACAACTGTTAGTTTCAGATAATAATTTTGTACTTCAACCTTTAGGTGATTATGAAAATGTGTAGATAACGTAGGACCTGTCGGTCGTTATTTACACGTAATTCTATGCAATTACCTAACGAATGCGTAAATTATTACTACATCATTCTATGTGAGCAAAGATGTAATGTTCTTTACGCAAT